GGTACTGCAGTACTGAGACAGCGGTACTGCAGTACTGAGACAGCGGTACTGCAGTACTGAGACAGCGGTACTGCAGTACTGAGACAGCGGTACTGCAGTACTGAGACAGCGGTACTGCAGTACTGAGACAGCGGTACTGCAGTACTGAGACAGTTGTACTGCAGTACTGAGACAGTGTTACTACAGTACTGAGACAGTCCTCACTGTGTTGAAGATTATTTATTTTTCCTGACATATGGACATGACTACGCTCTTAGCGCCCCCTGCACCAAGGTTTTTTTAGGAAACAACTTTTGGTGCTAACTCCACACAGCCCAGTTTAGGCGGCATCAACTAGCAGCTAGCAGCTAGCAACTTCAACCCAAACTGATGCCCAGCTAAAGTAGCTAGGACACAGGTGCAGTACCAGGAAAAGTCAATAGGTGGCGGAAAATATTTGCAAGACCCAAAATACTGTGAACAAACGTAATAGTAATAAATGGTAGATAATGGATAAGCTAACAGGTTGCTAACGGCTTGGCCCAAAAACAACACAATTTAGCAGCTAAAAGATAGGCTGGAAATACGTAGCTACTACACGGCTAACATGTCACCAAAGCCGTACTTTTAGCTAAATTCACTAGTTACTAATTAATTTTTAACAATTAACAAAAAGACAAATAAAATGAAGCTCCATAATGAACTAAGCTGAAGATAAAGTTAGCGGAACATACAGTCGCTATATCAAGGAGTCTGGTCAACAGTTCTACTTCCTGTTTGTTGTTTTTTTTATTAAACAACAGTGTGTGTTCCTGTGTGTGTGTGTTCCTGCGTGTGTGTGTTCCTGTGTGTGTGTTCACAGGGATGGAGGACTGAAGAGAGGGAAAGTCAAGGACTCACTGAAGGAGGAGCAGCAGAAGAAGTACAGCAGCTTCATCACTGGACACAGCGCCACGGAGGACACAGACACTCAGGACTGAGGGACATCTCTGGACACATGCTCATTTTCTACTCCCCTGCGTGCAGTGGCGTGCTTTCACCAGCAGGTGTCAGCATCCGACAGCGCAGCAGATGTGTGTTTGAAAAGGACGTTTTATCTTTACATTCCTTCATGGAACAATGAAAACCACTGACGTCCGACGTCTGTTTTTATTTTACAACGGTTTTAAATATGTCGTTATGTCAATGTGAGTTCAAACGTCGGTGACGTCACAGAATCCGCTGATGATTCAGAACAACTGTGAATATAAATGTGAATATAAACCACTAAACACAAATACAATCATCACTTTTCAACATCATTAGTATTATTTTATTATTTTATTATTATTATTATTGTTATTATTATTATTATGGCCACACGTGGGCAGTGTAACGACATTAAACCAGACACACCCCGCAGCTGTTACTTAGTGTAAAAATACACAACATGACGTGAAGAAGGGCGGGAAACATCCGCCTATTTTATCACGGAAGACTTCAATAATAATCAATAATCAATAATATTAAACAGGAAGTTTCAGTCTTTGACATTAGAAAACACATAAGTTATTAAAATAAAGTTCAAATTACAATAAATAAACTAGCACTAATAATAATGATGACGACATTCAATGACATTTTATAAAAGGATATTTTACATTATTAAAAGTCTTCATTTGTTTTATTAAAAATCCAAATCTTCTTCATTTTTGAATTTATTTTTTTTGTGTAAATTTAAAGCCAGTCATTACAGATAATATAATGAACTGCAAAAAAAAAACGTACTTGTAAAAGATTGTAAAACAAAATTAAAATGTTTTTTTTGTTCCTGCTCCTATAAATCATCTCTTTTCTTTCTCTCCTTGAATCAGTCGTTTTATTCCAGTCTTATTATATTATATTTATCCCTGCACCTTTGTCTTCTGAAAAATCACAGGTGAAATGTCAGATTATTGTCTTTGTCTTTAAACGCAGCAGCGACTGGTGGTGAAGACAGGAAGTTGTCGTTCCCTGTAAAATAAACATTTGTTTCATTAAAAATGTCTCTGTAATAAAACCTTCTTTTTTTAAACATGAAGTTGAATAAAAACCACGTCTCAGAAAAAAAGAAGAGAAAGAAAATACGTTCTACAGATGTTGATCTTCAAAAATGGAACGTTTGATGACGTTTGTCCCTGAACCACGATCTGGTCTGAAAAAAACAAACAAACAAATGTACGAAAAAAAAAAAAAAAAAAAATTATATTTAAAATGATAAAAATGAGTCCAAGAAAATTCAGTGACCAGGGCAGGAGGAAATAATCTGGAGATTAATCAGATTAGACTTTGAACTGTATGTGTGTGTGTGTCATACTGGTACAGCTGTACTTATGGGGACATTTTTTTAGGGAAAATATTAATGTCGCAAGGACGCTGTCCTGATGGGGACGCTGTCCTGATGGGGACGCTGTCCTGATGGGGACGCTGTCCTGATGGGGACGCTGTCCTGATGGGGACGCGGTCCCGGTGGGGATGCTGTCCTGGTGGGGACATTGTCCTGGTGGGGACGCTGTCCTGGTGGGGACGCTGTGGACGTTTTGTGTATTTTGAGGTTGAAGATTTTGTTTGGAGTTAGGATTAGAACCAGGATTAAAGATTAAACTTAAATCTGTAACAGTTAATGTTGGAGTAAAAGGTCGTGTGTGTGTGTGTGAGGTACTCACAGAACACGGCCTGCGTGTGTGTGAGTGTGTGTGTGTGTGAGTGTGTGTGTGAAGCAGTGATTGCGTCTCACAGCTGCAGCTCACGCCTCTAACGCTGCTCCTGCAGCTGAACAGAAATGTTTGTTCTGCACT